TTTCTGACATGCTGCAGTACATACCACCTGTGCAAAAAGAGACATGCGTTTTCCTACATAAGCATTTTCACATTGCATAGGTTCATCATTTAAAGGACAGTTTGCAGCAATATGACCTAACGCATGACAACGATGACATATTATATGTTCAGTGCTTAGACCTTTAAACGGCTTTAGGGACCTTCTTGACCTATTTGGCCAGTCTAAGTCCTAAGCCTACCGTCTTATTATCTGAAACAACAGTCTTATTGTTTTTTCCTGAGCCTTTGGCCCATGGAACAGTCTTACCGGATCCTCCGGATAGTTTTCCACCCCTAGTGACATTGGGGTACGGCCCAGGTGAGTGCAAAAAGTCCTCAGCGGCTGCATATCTCTCCACCAGGTCCACCAGCTCGTTTGCAGATTTAGGGTCTCCATGGCCGACCCACTTCCTCAAAGTGGCAGGGAGTGCACGTAAATATTGGTCCATGACCACACGCTCCACAATCTGAGGGCCTGACAATACCTCTGGCTGGAGCCACTTTTTGGAGAGATGTATCAAATCGAACATCTGAGATCTGGGTTGTTTGTCAGCCCTGTAATGCCACTGATGCACCCGCTGAGCCCGGACTGCAATGGTGACGCCCAGGCATGCAAGGACCTCAGCCTTCAGTTTCTCATAGTCCTGGGCATCCCCTGGTTCCAGGTCATAATAGGCTTTTTGGGATTCACCTGTCAAAAATGGTGCAAGCAGTCCTGCCCATTGCTCCTTTTTCCATCCTCCCCGAACAGCAACCCTTTCAAAAGTTGTGAGGTAGGCCTCCACATCATCCGCAGGTGTCATCTTCTGCAAAACATAGCTGGCCCGTGCCATTTTCTGCTTCACTGGCAGCGGATCTGCAGATTCCTTCTTTAATTCTAATAGGTGTTGGGCCACCTGCTTAAGGAGCTCTCGGTCTGCATGTTGGGCTTCATGTTGTGCTTGTTGGGCTTCATGTTGTGCTTGTTGGGCCTCCGCAAACTGGCGATTTGTCTCCCGTTGTGCTGCATTGGCCTGCAGCAAGGCTCTTATTATTTCCTCCATCTTCCCACTTGCTCAGGAAGTTGCCCGCATCCTCCACCATATGTGGGGTTAGCTCAGGTGGGGGATCTCCTTCCCTGGGAAAAAGGTAGGCCGCACAGCAGGCTTTCTTCAAAATCTGACGGGTTGTCAGTTTTATTTAAAAGGTTTGCAAAAATATCAAAATAAACAAAACATCAAAATAAACCCTTGCCATCCAGGCACTAACTAAACAGGAGACGTTTCCTCTCTCAGAGGTGAAGGGCTTCTCCCTGTCACCCAAAACAAAACAAAAGCAAACCTTTTCTTGTAGGTATAGTACACACACACACAGCTCTCTCAGAATACCTCTCTGAGTCCCAGGCCATGAGCAACTCCTTGCTCCAGCCCTGCCCTTTTTGTATGACCTGTTGGTGGTCATCAGTGGAGCCCAAACTCTGGTCCGGACCCACCTCCTCAACTGTGGCCCCAAAACCCCGGAGTGGACTCCACCTAAACTGCCAGGTATGAGTGTATGCGAGGTGACCCATAGCGTCCCTCTATCACCTTGCCGTTCATACTGTCACAATAGTAATAAAAAAATTGGCAAGAGTAATTACTCATACATTGTTTTAAAATGTAAAAAAAAATGTAAAAAAACACATTGTACACATTTGGAACTGCAGGCTGCATGTGTACGTGAATTTTATCAGACTACTTTGTGGTCAGTGACCCAGATGTTCTGAAATGAAACCAAAAGCAATAAACAAGGCGATATATTTTCTCCAAAACCAGATTTGTACAGTACATGTAACTGAAGTGCATACTGTATATATATATATATATATATATATATATATATATACATTTTTTACATAGGCTGGGGCCCTATTACAAGAAAGTAGCCCAGATTTGCACTTTAAGGTCAATATATATTTTTATACTACAGCCTTTTTCAACCAGGGTGCCCTGGGGTTCTTTGAGGGTTCTTCAGGAGTGCCTTGGCAAAATGTCTAAATATTGGCCAGAACTTGTATAGAAGCCAGCAGGTGGAACAAGCCTGTTTTTTAATTACACAAAGTCACTGGTTTTCATTGTGCACTATTACCACCTTCTAGCCACTGGCATCTTGACAACCAATATGACATCATCAATTGATAAGGAGAATGTCAGTTGTCTTCACAGCATCCTTGTTTGACCCTCCCCTGCCCCTCTCTCATCAGTGGTATCACATTAGCTCAGTGCTGGAGAAACATTGAGGGAGAAAAGAAACACTGGAATACTAGTCAGTATCAGTGTGCAAAAGTGTTTTTGCTTTGGAAGAATAAATCACCTCTAATGTTGGGTGTCCCACATGTGTGGATGTTGCTGCATTATATAAAACTATTAGAATAGTTTTTTACATTTTAGAATGGGGTGCCTCAAGACTGTCCATAATTTTAAAGAGCGCCTTGACTGAAAAAAGGTTGAGGAACACTGATATACTGTTTCCCCAGAAAATTGTTGCAAATACAAATGTTTAGGCATTCCTTTGTTTATTTCTTTTGTTTGCATAGGTATGACAAAAAAAGTGGAGAAACAAAAAGCCAAATCTGACACATTCCATACAAAACTCCAAAAATGCACTGGACAAAATTATTGGCACCTTGTCAAAATTGTAAGAAATAATTGCATTCCACGTTTGTGATGCTCCTGTAGTTTTTGTAATTAAAGTGGTTGTAAAGGCTCAAGGTTTTTTACCTTCATGCATTTTATGCATGAAGGTAAAAAACCTTCTGTGTGCAGCAGTGCCCCCAGTCCCCTCAATACTTACCTGAGCCTCATCACGATCCAGCGATGTCAAAAACAGCCTCAGCTGTCACGGGGCTCTGCCTCCTCATTGGCTGAAACAGCAAGCGGGAGCCATTGGCTCCCACTACTGTCAATCACAACCAGTCAGCCAAAGAGGAGAGGGGGTGGGGCCAAGTCACGGCTCTGTGTGTGAATGGACACACAGAGCAGTGGGTACCCCCATAGCAAGCTGCTTGCTGTGGGGACACCCAACAGGAGGAGCCAGAAGAGCCTGCGGGGGCCCCGAGAAGGGGAGGATCCAGGCTGCTCTGTGCAAAAATCACTACACACAGTAGCTAAGTATAGCATGTTTGTTATTTAAAAAAAAAATAAATTAACCTTTAATATCACTTTAACCCCTTCACGACTAAGGGTAAAACAAATCTAAATGCCTAAGCACAATTCTGCAACGTTGACATGTGTTAGTAAAACCATACATATCATCACAACTACTTTGTACATCCAGGTGGATTATACCTTGTTTTTTTCAGGACAAATTGGGCTTTCATTTGGTGGTAAATTGTAATAGATAGCTCCTAATTTTTTTTTATTATCAAAGAAAAACTGGCCCAAAATAGTAAAACAAAATCGTTTTTTTTTTTTATTTAGCTGTGTGTTTCTTGTTACGACCATAAACTACCTCCAAAGAACAACCCAAAATAAATTCTCCAGCTCTTGACGATCGCAGTGATACCATATATGTGTATGTTATTTGTTGTTTGTACCCATAGTACAGCCCAGAAACAATAGTGCGCATTTTGTTTTTGTCTTTTTTTTTTTTTTTTTTACCTAAAACACACTAACACTGACATTAACGCTAACTGATACCAATTTTTGTATAAATCCTGACCTTTGACCCTGACCTTGACCCAAACACTAACCCTGGTACTGACCTAGATCAAACCTTGATCTAGGTATTTTTCTTTATTTTTTATTTTATTTTTTAATACTTATTTATCTTCTTTTTTTTTTTTTTACAAACATTTTTTTTTCTCTTTATGTCAGGAGTTAGAGAGATACAATGTATCTCTCTTCTCCATTCATAGAGAGAGAAAAAACAAGGGGGCCGGGCTGCACAGTGACTGATCACTGTGATAGCCAATCAGAGGCTATCACAGCGATCACGTGACCCGGAATCAGGAGTCCAGGATCCCGATCGTTAGAACGGGACCCGGAGCTCTCAGTGACACCGCGGTCTCTGTGCTGGGAGCGAGCCGAGTGGCGCGCTCCCAGAACAAAGACAGGTACGCAAATATGCGCCCCCACGGAAAAAAGCCCAGTTCCGTGAGGCCGCATATTTGTGTGCCGTCGGAGTCAAGGGGTTAAACTCACATGTATCAATTAACAGGTGCTGCCAATATAGAAATCACACCGGCAACCAGTTAAAATGGTCAAAAATGTACTCAACTTTTCTGCTGTGTGTCTCCATGTGCCACATAAAGCAAGGAGAAGAGAAAGAGAGCAGCAAAGAATTGTCTGAGGATTTGAGGACAAAAATTGTGGAAATGCATGGACAATTGCAAGTCCATCTCCAGAGATCTTAATGTTCCTGTGTCCACTGTGTTTAACATTGTCAAGTTTACAGCTCATGGCACTGTAGCTTATCTCCCTGGACGAAAGAGAAAAATTGATCAAAGATTGCAGCAACGAATTGTTCTAATGGTGGCTAAAGAACCTTGATCAACAACCAGACAAATTAAAGCTGACCTTTAGGCACAGAGTACAACTGTGTCAACTCGCACTATACATCACCATCTGAAAGAAAAGGGACGCTATGGTAGGAGACCCAGGAAGGACCCACTGCTGACACAGAAACCTAAAAAAGCCAGATTGGAGTTTGCCAAAACTTACCTGAGGAAGCCAAAATCCTTTTGAGAGAATAAGCTGTGGGGAGACAAAACAAAATTTCAGCTTTTTGGTAAAGCCCATCAATCTACTGTTCTCAGAAAAAGCAATGAGGCCTTTAACCACCTTCCGCCCGCCCTATAGTAAAATGACGGGCGCAAGGTCATTCTCTCATTCTGATAGGACGTCATATGACGTCCTACCATTCTCACTGCGCATGCGCGGCTCAGGGAGCGCGCAGCACGGCGATCGCCGGTGCGCTGTGTCCCTCGGACACAGCAGATCACGGAAAGAGCCGAAGATGTCGGCTCGGTCATGTGATCAGCTGTGTCCAATCACAGCTGATCACATGTAAACACGGAAATGCCGGTTATTGGTGTTTCTCTCCTCTCGAGCTGTCACGCTGACAGCTCAAGAGGAGAGGAGAGCCGGTAATCGGCTTTCCGTGGAGGGGACATGTACACTGATCATCAGGGCACTGATGATCAGTGTGGCCCCAGAAGTGCCACCTGTCAGTGCTCATCAGTGCCACGTGCCAGTGTCTATCAGTGCCACATCAATGCCACATATCAGTGCATAACAGTGCACATCAATGCCACATATCAGTGCCCATCTGAGCTGCCTTTCAATGTCACCCATCAGTGCCACCTATCAATGCCAATCAGTGCCACCTATCAGTGTCGCCTATCAGTGCCAGTCAGTGTCGCCTATCAGTGCGCATCAGTGCCGCCTATCAGTGCCAGTCAGTGCCACCTATCAGTGCCAGTCAGTGCCGCCTGTCAGTGCCATATATCAGTGTCATGTATCAGTGTCATGTATCAGTGCTGCCTTTCAGTGCCCATCAGTGATGCCTGTCAATGCCCATCAGTGCAACCTACCAGTGCCTCCTCATCAGTGTCCATCAGTGCCACCTATCAGTGTCCATCAGTGCAGCCTATCGGTGCCCATCACTGCAGCCTCATTAGTGCACATCAGTGAAGGAGAAAAATGACATATTTACAAAATTGTATAACAAAAACTAAGAAAAAAAAACGTTTTTTTTTCAAAATTTTCAGTGGTTTTTGGTTTGTTTAAGAAAAAAATTAAAATCCCAGAGGTGATAAAATACCACCAAAATAAAGCTCTATCTGTCTCAAAAAAATGATAAAAATTTCATATGGGTATAGTGTTGCATGACCGCGCAATTGTCATTCAAAGTGTGACAGCGCTGAAAGCTGGAAATTGGCCTGGGCAGGAAGGGGGTATAAGTGCCCTGTAGGCTAGTGGTTAAAGAAAAAAATACAGTCCCTACAGTCAAACATGGTGGAGGTTCACTGATGTTTTGGGGCTGCTTTGCTGCTTCAGGCACTGGATGTCTTGACCGTGAGCATGGCAGTATGAAATCTGAAGACTACCAAAAACATTTGGGGTGCAGTGTAGGGCCCAGTGTCAGAAAGTTGGGTCTCCATCAGAGGTCATGGGTCTTACAGCAGGACAATGACAATGACCTTCCAATCTGAGAGACCTGGAACAGTTGGCAAAAGAAGAGTGGTCCAAACCTCCAGTAGACAGGCGTAAGAAACTCATTGATGGTTACAGGAAACGATTGACTTCAGTTATTTTTTCCAAGGCATGTGCTGCCAAATATTAAATTGAGGGTGCCAATAATTTTGTCCAGTCTGTTTTGGGGGTTTTGCGTACAATGTGTCAGATTTGGCTTTTTGTTTCTCCACTTTTTTGTGTCATACCAATACAAACAAAAGAAATAAACATGAGAATGCCTAAAAATTTGTAATTGCAACAATTTCCTGGGCGAAGTGGTGCATTATCTGAGCGAAATACAGGACTGCCAATAGCCAATATTTTTGGCCATGACTGAATAAATATATGTGTATATATATATATATATATATATATATATATATATATATATACATACATACAGTCTGAGTGCCTGTAACTAGCAGAGACTCTCCTCTGATGCAGGAAGCCCTGAAACGCATCCAGGAGACAGATCCTCTGGCCTAGTTGCAGTTCCTTGAACGCCAAGCAGCGACTGCCAGAGAGGAACGCCAGGCTGAGAGAGAGGAACGCCAGGCACAGAGGGAAGCTGACCGTCGGCATGAGCTGAAGATGGTCAGGCTTCAGCAGCAGAGACAGGCTCAGAACCTTGGGTCCTTAGAACACAGGGACGCCACTCTGGCCGTGGGCACAGCAGCCAAGTTTCCAGTGATGGAAAAAGATACTGACATTGACACGTATTTACTGTCATTTGAAAAATTGTGCCGTCAGTACCATGTGCTCCCAGCTCAATGGGCTCGGTACCTGACCCCAGGGCTACGAGCCAAGGCCCTGGATGTGTTTGTTGAAATGCCAGAGGGGCAGGAAGCTCTAAAAGATGCCAGCATCCGGAAGTACCAGATAAACCCGGAAGTGTACCGCAAGTGGTTCAGGTCCATGCAAAAGGATCCTGGGGACTCTTACACGGATGTGGCGAGTCGCTTACGCACCACATTCCGACAGTGGACTAAGGGACTGAAAGCTGACTCCTACGAGTCTTTAGAAGATCTCATGATATGAGATCAACTCCTACACATCTGCCCAGCCGACGTCAGACAGTTTGTCTTGGAGAGAGAGCCAGCATCTACTAAAGCTGCAGTCGATTTGGCAGATACCTTCGTCCACACGCGAGTGTCTGACCATCGCAAGGCTCCTCCGTACGGCTGGAAAGGGGGGAAATCGCCCCTAGTAACCCCTCCTACGTCGGTGAGTCAAGCGTCCCCTCCGCCCATACCTGCAGCACTTGGAGGCAAGCCATCTCTGCCTGACAACCGCAGATATTCCACCTGTGGGAAAGCCGGATATCTCAGGATGCAGTGTCCTGAGCAGAAGCAGACGACATCATCTGACCAGCCAGTCAGCAACTCTATTCCGTGCTGTTCATCCAAAGGAAGATGCGGGTAACCCCCGCCAACTTGCAGCCAGTCACTGTGGGCAACCGGTCTGTAACTGGTTTCCGGGACACCGGGGCAGAAGTCACCTTGATCCGGCCAGAGGTGATTGAGCAAAGAAACCTCCTCCCAGGAAAGTTCCTTACCCTCACAGGAGTTGGGGTGGACCCGTTCACGCATACCCTGTGCAAAGGTATTCATAGATTGGGGTACGGGAAGGGGGATGAGGGAGGTGGGGGTCTCGGATGAAATTCCCACACCTGTTTTGCTGATCTAGGCACTGCTGATCTAGGCACTCTTGTTTCCTATTATGTCCCTGCCGAGAATACCCAGAAGGTCCCCCTGGAACTCTCTGGACATGCCAAGGTACTGTGTGCAGATATTGGGGTAATGGCTGGGCAACCTGTGGATGGACAGAGGGAGGGGGCTGGGAATGGAGTGGGGCTACAAGATTCTCCATTAGCTAAAGAAAGAGAAGAAATCCCCTTGCCGTGGGAGGTATTGAACTCATGTGTCATTGATATTATAAATGTGACTGTTGATGATGATGATAATGACGCTGATATTGATAATGTCAGTAATGTTGATGAGAAGGTTGGTAATGCTAATGATGATTATGATGGTCATGATGACACAAATAATGCATTTTCATTGTTGGGGGTCACCCACAGTGCTGTGAAGGGGGCAGAGGTACAGTCTCTGGGAGCTGAGCAAAGGGATGGTCTGGATAGGCCTGTTCCTTGCCTAGGCCCAGAATATTCTGCCTTGATAAGCGCTCAGCAGTTGTCCTTACATGGTATTGGACAACCAGCTGGGACTTGTAGTCCCACGTGCAGGCCAGCACTGGAAAGCAATTCACACAGGGATTCCAGCCTCCAGCTAGATGTAAGCTCCCCTGCTGAGAAGGGTAAACAAAGGCCTGACAGGGAGGATGGAATGAATGGCCTATTAGCAAGGGGCTCAGAGCCTGAAAGCATGTCATCTGATCTGACCTGTCTTGGGGTGTCACCCGGCAGACAAACCTGTGTCCTAGGTAGTGGCAGCACACCTGGATTGGAAGTGCGAGGGACATCATTGGAGCTGATCAGCGGAACTCAGAGAGGGGGCTGCTGCCCTCAGCTCCAATCACCTCTCCTTTCCATTCAGGTGCAGGAGCTGCTGGCAATGCCTATGATAGATGGTGTCTGGGTTCTGAGAAACCCGGGGAGAGCTCACCGTGCGGTTCAGGAGTTAGACAGCAGAATGTATGCCTCCCACCAACCTCATCTCCCAGGAGGTGCAGGCTGAATGGGCCAAAGAGACGGAGGGAATGGCGCAGTCAGGAATCCAGGGGTCAGCTCGAGTCTGCACATCCCCGGTAGTCTCGATCCCCAAACAGGATCAGATGACCAGGCTTTTTGAGGACCTTGGAAAACCGAGTGCCAGCCCTGTGGGTGTGGTACACCCCATGCCCAGAGGCCATGAGGTAATGAAGCATCTGGAAGGTGCCCGCTGTTTAACCCTCATGGACCTGAGCAGAGGGTATGTACCAGCATCTGTAACCCAGGAGGCTCAGGATGAGTCAGCCTTCACTACTCCATGTGGCTTGCCTGAATTCACGGGAAAGCTAGTTGGGGTTGAGAACGCACCAACCACCTTCCCAGGGGTCAGGAATGACCTGCAATGCAGAGTGGAATTGGCTGCAGTTGCCCACTTTAGGGGCTTTGCGGTGTTCGGCCCTGTCTGGGAAGAGCAACTTGGGCCCCTGTCATTAGTCAGGAACCAACTGCCCGTGCCTAGTCTGACAGTCGAGAAGGGTAACTGTCAGAGGGGCATGTCAGTGGTTCAGCTTTGGGAACCACCGGTAGGAAGAGACCCCCAGAGGTCTGGGCATGGGGAGACTGAGGCAGTTGTGGCCTGGCCTACTCCCCAGGCCAAATAGCAGGTTTCATCAGTCTTGGGTGCAGCTGGCTACAGTAAGACGCCTGGGTGCAACTATCATGGCTCAGCTGGACCTGTGACTGACCTGGCAGACAGGAAACTGGCGGAACTGGTGTCCTGGGTGCTAGCAGGTAAAGAGGACTGTTCATCTTGTATGAAGGTACCTGTGGACACATCTGGGAGGCGAGTTCCAGAATTCGCCTGTCTGGTTCCGGTGCACCCAGGCGCCACTACCTTCGGGCCAGATGTAGTCCTAGGCCTGAGGAAGAAGATGAGAGAGAGAAATCTCCTTCTCTACCTCGATAAGAAGCTACATATTAATATGTTAGTAGATGACACCCCTAAGCCGAAGTGTTTTTTGAACAGGTGGGCACCCCAGCAGTCGCCATGATATCCGGATAGTCGCAGCCGACTGGTGCTCACCCGTGACCACTCGCTTGGTTGGCACAGCAGTGTTGCCGGGGAGAACAGCCTCCTTGTCAGAAGAAACTTGGTTCTCCCGCAGTGCAGTGGTACCAGGTCGATCCAAGGTGAACCTCTGGGCAGAGGTCGGTTGCGTCAGGAGGGAAATTGTAGTTCCCTCCAGTGCAACAACCTGAGGGGGGAGGTGTAGCAAGCGTACACACAGAGATGGACGCGGTTCAACCATTTTGCTCCAACCCTCCATTTTGTTAAGAATCTCCATGTCTCCCTCGTTCGTCCCCCTTCCTCTCTGTTCATACACATTGACATATGGTCTGTTTGTTAGGAGTGTCACAGGCCAGGGCACAGCAGGGAGCCCAGAGCTATAAAACACCTCCCTGAGCAAGGAGCCTGGTTGTCTGAGGGAGCTGTGCCATATAGCACCTCGTAAAAGCTAAGGCAAGCCTTCCCAGGAGTTCAAGGCATTCCAACGAAGCACGAACCAGATAAACACATTTAAAAATCAATTTTTCCCCTATGTCTCATATCTTGGAATATGAGAGACTTACATAAAAACCAGGCATATCTTCAGATTGGCCAAAAGAAGACGAACAGTTTGGTAGGTCACTCTCCTTGGCTGGAATACATAGAAAAGCAGAAAAGTAGATCTCATGAACCATTCAGTGTATAATTTCATATTTCATGTCTAATCAATCCTCAGACGTGTCTGCATAATAATCTACCCGCGGGTGGAGTGTCACTTGTGCACAGGGAAAGTTATGAGCCAAAATATGAAGAGATTTTGGCTCTAGTTTAGGTCCACGCCCAGACGA